CGCCTTCTACACACTGACTGACCTGCTGCCTAACACAGAGTACTCTGTGTGGGTCCTGGCCTTCTCAGCTGCAGGGGCAGGAGAGAAGAGTGCGGTGCTGTCAGTCCGTACGGAAGAAGAAGGTAGTAAAATGTCATCTGTCACTACTATAGATCCTTCTTTTTTATTTTACTGCTTTCTAACCAGTAACTGTGTTGTCTAACCATTTGTATGTTTATCTAACAAAACTAGTCAAGCTTGTATTCACATCAACAATCTTTTCACTTAATTTACTTAAGCTCCAAAAGTGCCTGGTGCCCCCGGCAGTGTCCGTTTGACCCCAAGTGGCCCCACCTCCATCACAGTGGAGTGGGAGGCTCCCACAACAGGTGCAGATGTGGAGGGATACAATGTGTACTACCAGGTAAAATTACCTAATCATGATAGGGAATTTAAGTCACTCTTTAATATCAGATTATAGTTATATTATCTATTTTATCAATAGCTAGAGATGCTGGTAATTGTTTCCTCCATTCAGTGTGCACAGAGAGATGATGAAGTACTTTATTCCCCACCATGTACATGTAGCCTGAGGATGGCAGGACCAGGACAGCTCAGGTGGAGCCCAGTGACATGCCCAGCTACACCATCACAGGTCTGACACCAAACACACTCTACAGTGTGTGGGTCATCGCCTTCTCCACTGACGGCTTGGGTCAGAGGAGCCAGCTGGTCAAGGTGCTGACAGAGGAACAAGGTACAGCTTTTTATTTCTCAAGGAATGTCAAGATGAGATAGAAATGTCTTGCAATACTTTGCAGATGTACTGACTTCCATGTATTAATGAGTATTGTCAAAATGACAACAAAATGACTTGCTTTGTTTTCTGTGCAGCTCCCCAAACTCCAGGTGTGCCTAGGAATGTTGAAGCTTCTTCAACTGGTCCGACTACCATAGTGGTCCAGTGGACCAGCCCTGATACTGGGGCTGATGTGCAGGGATACACCATCTATTATCAGGTGAGAGGCTTATTTTCTCATTTTTGTGTTTCTTTTTGGTTGACTTTCATCACTTTGAGGATCTTGCCACTGCTGTACCAGTCTTGTCACTCTTTCCTGCTGTCTCAAATACAGTCATGTATAATGAACATGTGGCATAAGGAATTGACTTTAAAAAATTAACAAGGAACATAGGAGCAGGACAGGTTGACTTCAACCTTACTGATATGTGACGATGTCATGGTGATATGTATTATCTATCCTCAGGCTGAGAATGAACCCACTATGAGAGTCCAGGTGAGTCCCAGTGACATTCCCTACACCATCAGGGACCTGCTGCCTGACACCCAGTACACCATCTGGATTGTGGCCTTCTCTACTGAAGGAATGGGAGAGAGAAGCCCTGCTCTTACTGTCACCACACAGGAAGGTCAGACAAAAGAATTGCCAATGTCTAAAACTATGATCTCTGTTTTTGTAAAATCTGAGGTCAGCTTAGAGTGTCTTAAGTTTACATTTTGTAGTTTCATCCATATAGCTGTGTGTTATCACCTTCAGATTGAAACTGTTTTTTTGCTAGGTGGTACATAGATGTGAGAGTCTAGTGATTTAAATTGTTCCATCCATGTCCCCAGCTCCTGCAACCCCTGGTGCCCCCGGCAGTGTCCGTTTGACCCCAAGTGGCCCCACCTCCATCACAGTGGAGTGGGAGGCTCCCACAACAGGTGCAGATGTGGAGTATTACATCATCTATTACCAGGTGAGTTTTATACTAGTATTTTTGTAATGATTATTACCTTCTGTTGCCTTTTGTCTTTTTGTGTGTCAGTTTGTGAATTTGTCTGTGTGTTTCTGCAGATTTGTGAACTTCTATCTGACCATATGCTGTCCTGACAAAGGCTTGACTGTGCTTTACAAGTTCTCTACCTTTACTTTATGTTTGCCAAGCTGTTTGTGACTTGCCATGTTTCCTGTCCTGTTCCAGGCTGAGAATGAACCCACTATGAGAGTTCAGGTGAATCCCAGTGACATTCCCTACACCATCAGGGACCTGCTGCCTGACACCCAGTACACCATCTGGATTGTGGCCTTCTCTACTGAAGGAATGGGAGAGAGAAGCCCTGCTCTTACTGTCACCACACAACAAGAAGGTGAGACAGACAAAATTTGCTTCATATTGTTTCTCACATTATCTTTTCTGATTTTGAGGGCTGGGTTTGTTTTCCTAGGCATAGGATGGCAAAAGTTTCATCCTATCTTACCGTTACTTTATCTACCAGTAAAACTGCTTAATTTTTGTGTTACATAGACTGGAGTCTTACAATTTAAATTGTTCCATCCATGTTCCCAGCTCCTGCAACCCCTGGTGCCCCCGGCAGTGTCCGTTTGACTCCAAGTGGCCCCACCTCCATCACAGTGGAGTGGGAGACTCCCACAACAGGTGCAGATGTGGAGTATTACGTCATCTATTACCAGGTGAGTTTTATACTAGTATTTTTGAAATGATCATTACCTTCTGTTGCCTTTTGTCTTTTTGTGTGTCAGTTTGTGAGTTTGTCTGTGTGTTTCTGCAGATTTGTGCATTTCTATCTGACCATATGCTGTCCTGACAAAGGCTTGACTGTGCTTTACAAGCTCTCTACCTTTACTTTATGTTTGCCAAGCTGTTTGTGACTTGCCATGTTTCCTGTCCTGTTCCAGGCTGAGAATGAACCCACTATGAGAGTTCAGGTGAGTCCCAGTGACATTCCCTACACCATCAGGGACCTGCTGCCTGACACCCAGTACACCATCTGGATTGTGGCCTTCTCTACTGAAGGAATGGGAGAGAGAAGCCCTGCTCTTACTGTCACCACACAACAAGAAGGTGAGAGAGACAAAATTTGCTTCATATTGTTTCTCACATTATCTTTTCTGATTTTGAGGGCTGGGTTTGTCTTCCTTTGCATAGGATGGCAAAAGTTTCATCCTATCTTACAGTTACTTTATCTACCACTACTTTATCTAACTGCTTAATTTTTGTTACATAGACTGGAGTCTTACAATTTAAATTGTTCCATCCATGTTCCCAGCTCCTGCAACCCCTGGTGCCCCCGGCAGTGTCCGTTTGACTCCAAGTGGCCCCACCTCCATCACAGTGGAGTGGGAGGCTCCCACAACAGGTGCAGATGTGGAGTATTACATCATCTATTACCAGGTGAGTTTTATTTACTTACAACTACTTATTACCACATGTACAGTTACTGTATATAGTACCATGGTAGGATGTTGCTCTTTTGTAAAAGACAATCCTTGCATACCCCCAGAATGTCATGTAAAATTCACCATCAAATAGTAGTGTTAACTGTCATTATTACTAGTATCCTTGTGTCCGTACTTGAAACTGATTGAAGAGTCATGTGACTAGAGTCCACCATCTTGAATATTTACATAGGTCCATCTGCATGGAGCTGCTGGAATTCATTGTACTGTAAATTTTGTGGTCTTAAAGTACCCTCTACTGACTGAAGGAACATTAAAAGCTTCTATATTGCAGAATCTTAGCAGACATACAGGGGACAACTCATTGAACACAGTTACAACATGTACTGTAGTAAACTTAGATCCCGTGGTACGAGGACTGATATTTTACAGAGTCTAACATTGGCTAGAATCATACTGCAGTTCTACTCATGCGTCATTCTACTGATAAGCATAATAACTTGAAAATGGTTCTTCATGTTTCCTCTTTATATTTCATAGATATTATATCCAGAGAATTACACAAGGTCCTTGTCTCATGTACTCTGCATATTAGATCTGCCTTTGGTTGTGGTGTTAAGGCTGAGAGCCACAACACTGAAGCAAGTCAGAATCCCGAACAAGCCACTTTGTGTCAACACTAGTGCTTTAGCCCTAAACAATTTTGTGGCAAATATCTCACACTTATCATCATTTTAGTTATGTTGTTGTGTAAAGACTTGATACATGTGTCCAGATTTGGCAGCATTTGGCGGGTTGGTTTTCTATACTTTCATCATCTATTTGTGACTTGCCATGTTTCCTGTCCTGTTCCAGGCTGAGAATGAACCCACTATGAGAGTTCAGGTGAGTCCCAGTGACATTCCCTACACCATCAGGGACCTGCTGCCTGACACCCAGTACACCATCTGGATTGTGGCCTTCTCTACTGAAGGAATGGGAGAGAGAAGCCCTGCTCTTACTGTCACCACACAACAAGAAGGTGAGACAGACAAAATTTGCTTCATATCGTTTCTCGAGGGCTGGGTTTGTCTTCCTAGGCATAGGATGGCAAAAGTTTCATCCTATCTTACAGTTACTTTATCCACCACTACTTTATCTAACTGCTTAATTTCTGTATTACATAGACTGGAGTCTTACAATTTAAATTGTTCCATCCATGTCCCCAGCTCCTGCAACCCCTGGTGCCCCCGGCAGTGTCCGTTTGACTCCAAGTGGCCCCACCTCCATTACAGTGGAGTGGGAGACTCCCACAACAGGTGCAGATGTCGAGTATTATGTCATCTATTACCAGGTGAGTTTTATACTAGTATTTTTTAAAATAATTATTACCTTCTGTTGCCTTTTGTCTTTTTGTGTGTCAGTCAGTGTGTTTGTCTGTGTGTTTCTGCAGATTTGTGAACTTCTATCTGACCATATGCTGTCCTGACAAAGGCTTGACTGTGCTTTACAAGCTCTCTACCTTTACTGTCTTTATGTTTGCCAAGCTGTTTGTGACTTGCCATGTTTCCTGTCCTGTTCCAGGCTGAGAATGAACCCACCATGAGAGTTCAGGTGAATCCCAGTGACATTCCCTACACCATCAGGGACCTGCTGCCTGACACCCAGTACACCATCTGGATTGTGGCCTTCTCTACTGAAGGAATGGGAGAGAGAAGCCCTGCTCTTACTGTCACCACTCAACAAGAAGGTGAGACAGACAAAATTTGCTTCATATTGTTTCTCACATGATCTTTTCTGATTTTGAGGGCTGGGTTTGTTTTCCTAGGCATAGGATGGCAAAAGTTTCATCCTATCTTACAGTTACTTTATCTACCACTACTTTATCTAACTGCTTAATTTTTGACTGGAGTCTTACCATTCAAATTGTTCCATCCATGTTCCCAGCTCCTGCAACCCCTGGTGCCCCCGGCAGTGTCCGTTTGACTCCAAGTGGCCCCACCTCCATCACAGTGGAGTGGGAGACTCCCACAACAGGTGCAGATGTCGAGTATTATGTCATCTATTACCAGGTGAGTTTTATACTAGTATTTTTTAAAATAATTATTACCTTCTATTGCCTTTTGTCTTTTTGTGTGTCAGTCAGTGTATTTGTCTGTGTGTTTCTGCAGATTTGTGAACTTCTATCTGACCATATGCTGTCCGGACAAAGGCTTGACTGTGCTTTACAAGCTCTCTACCTTTACTGTCTTTATGTTTGCCAAGCTGTTTGTGACTTGCCATGTTTCCTGTCCTGTTCCAGGCTGAGAATGAACCCACCATGAGAGTTCAGGTGAGTCCCAGTGACATTCCCTACACCATCAGGGACCTGCTGCCTGACACCCAGTACACCATCTGGATTGTGGCCTTCTCTACTGAAGGAATGGGAGAGAGAAGCCCTGCTCTTACTGTCACCACTCAGGAAGGTCAGACAAAAGAATTGCCAATGTCTAAAACTATGATCTCTGTTTTCTTAAAATCTGATGTCAGCTTAAGCGTCGGTCACAACCCGCCGCACGTGCATCCGCGTGCTGTCTACATGCAAAAATGTGGGCAAACGTGGGGGATCTGTAAGTGGTGAGTACCACCTCCATATGGAATCCTACAGATTTGGGAGCACACACAGCTCACACACAGACACGCCGTAGAACTTTAAGTGCATGTAAAACTTTTTCTGTGTGCAGTCTACAGATTGACCACCTGTACGTGCGAGGACGGGCGACGCACGTGTCCCGTATGTACCGTACGTAAGCAGCACGTGTGAATACGGCCTCCTTACGGTAAAGTGGCAATCACACAGAGATCGTATGTTGTAAGCACGTACTACTCACTTACCACTTGTGCAACGAACGATGCACGCAACCGCTCACGGCCAGACGTGGCATGCAGACCACACTCTTACACCTTGCGCAACCGTGTGAGTGACGTGCGTTGACGCCACTCCTTCCCCACGTTTTCAGAAAAACGTAGCAAACGTGGCCTCCCAGTAAAATATTTGAACATAAAGCACGCACGGCGGGTTGTGACCAACCCTTTAGAGTGTCTTAAGTTTACATTTTGTAGTTTTACCCATATAACTGTGTGATATCACCTTCAGATTGAAACTGTTTTTTTTGCTAGGTACATAGTTGTGAGAGTCTTGTGATTTTAAATTGTTCCATCCATGTCCCCAGCTCCTGCAACCCCTGGTGCCCCCGGCAGTGTCCGTTTGACTCCAAGTGGCCCCACCTCCATCACAGTGGAGTGGGAGACTCCCACAACAGGTGCAGATGTGGAGTATTACATCATCTATTACCAGGTGAGTTTTACTTAATTACAACTACTTGTTGACCATGACAGGTAGTACTGTTATAATACGGCAACACAGATGTTTTGGGCAGTGATGGATATGGTAAGTTTGTATGAGTTGATATGCTTAGATTTGTGCATGTTTGTCTGCTGATGTGCGCTGACTTGGCCGGTCGACCCAGTCTGGCTGTCTGTAACATGATAGTTTTTTGGTATCTCCATTGGCTGGTCTTCTCTTTAGTCATGTATCCCAACGTGTGGGTAGTCCACTTTAGTGAGGATGGTTTGTTTTAGGCATTAGTGGTAAACCTTAGGTGCTCTTTTTGCTTGGTGCTACTGATGTCTGTAACACTCACTGGCTCTGCTGTAGCCAGTGATGTGTTTCCATGTCTTATCCAAGATATCAATATATGCATGTTTTCGGTAAAAATGATTTCTGTATGTAAAAAAGAAAAATACAGATCTACATGTTCTATTCCAGGCTGAGAATGAACCCACTATGAGAGTCCAGGTGAATCCCAGTGACATTCCCTACACCATCAGGGACCTGCTGCCTGACACCCAGTACACCATCTGGATTGTGGCCTTCTCTACTGAAGGAATGGGAGAGAGAAGCCCTGCTCTTACTGTCACCACACAACAAGAAGGTGAGACAGACAAAATTTGCTTCATATCGTTTCTCACATGATCTTTTCTGATTTTGAGGGCTGGGTTTGTCTTCCTTGGCATAGGATGGCAAAAGTTTCACCCTATCTTACAGTTACTTTATCTACCACTACTTTATCTATCTGCTTAATTTCTGTATTACATAGACTGGAGTCTTATAATTCAAATTGTTCCATCCATGTTCCCAGCTCCTGCAACCCCTGGTGCCCCCGGCAGTGTCCGTTTGACCCCAAGTGGCCCCACCTCCATCACAGTGGAGTGGGAGACTCCCACAACAGGTGCAGATGTGGAGTATTACATCATCTATTACCAGGTGAGTTTTATACTAGTATTTTTGTAATGATTATTACCTTCTATTGCCTTTTGTCTTTTTGTGTGTCAGTCTGTGTATTTGTCTGTGTGTTTCTGCAGATTTGTGCATTTCTATCTGACCATATGCTGTCCGGACAAAGGCTTGACTGTGCTTTACAAGCTCTCTACCTTTACTTTATGTTTGCCAAGCTGTTTGTGACTTGCCATGTTTCCTGTCCTGTTCCAGGCTGAGAATGAACCCACCATGAGAGTTCAGGTGAGTCCCAGTGATATTCCCTACACCATCAGGGACCTGCTGCCTGACACCCAGTACACCATCTGGATTGTGGCCTTCTCTACTGAAGGAATGGGAGAGAGAAGCCCTGCTCTTACTGTCGTCACACAGGAAGGTCAGACAAAAGAATTTTCATTCTGATTTCAGACTGAACCACATTTTAGGCCTTTGGGACTTGTTCATAGATGTTTTGAAGGAGTATTACATGTATGTGTGTCAAGAGTGATGACTTTGGTGATTAACAGGAATTTTATTTCAACATGACACTACATTGAATAACTCAAATCTTACCCTCAGCTCCTGACTTGCCTGGTGCCCCCGGCAGTGTCCGTTTGACCCCAAGTGGCCCCACCTCCATCACAGTAGAGTGGGAGACTCCCACAACAGGTGCAGATGTGGAGTATTACGTCATCTATTACCAGGTGAGGTAGCCGTGTTGGTCAGGGTTATACTGCCCCTTATGAGATGACATACCCTGTTGTTAGCTTACTACAAGACGGGGTCGGCCAGGTTTCTGTCTGGGTCATGATTTGAATCAGCACAATGGCTGATGCAAGGCAGAGGTTCGCCAAGCCTCTATTTGGGTGATTTGAAGTGGATAATCAACTCCATACAGTAGAATACATGTATGTACCGTCGCACACCGGGGCATGTTCCTACTCTTGTTGAAAAGGTGCGGTGGGTTCTTTAACATGCACAGGGTGTGGCTCTCCCCAAACATGGGACCTCGTTCAGTGTCCTATCTGTGGATTTCTGAGGGATGTCCCGAACCAAAGCTGGGTACTCATTTTCACCTGAGCGAAGTGAGGAAAGTCATCCCCCAAACCCAAACAAACCCAAACATTGTATAACTTCTGAAAATGGAAGTATTGTGTTAGGTCTGCCTTGTCCCTCTGATGACCAGTGTCGGTCATGGGACTACAGTAGGTAGGTCATGTAGCTATAGGTAGCCTTCAAACACTTGTTGGTGCATTTATCTACTTTAATGTTCCTTTTTCCTTTTATTATATAGAAATTTGGTTAGCTTTTGTCTTAGTCCAGTATAGAAAACTAAATATTCACTATGATATAGGGGTTTTCCTCTGATAAACTTACACTTACATTGAAGAGTTAGAGAGATAGAGTTAAATTTGTATTTACAATGTAAGGCTGGAACTGCATGTGAAGTTAAACTCAGATTGGACTGTTCTAAACTTTCTTTGTTTGATTTGTTTGTCAGACGGAAGATGAACCTGTGCTAAGTGTCCAGGTGGACCGGTCTACAAGCCAGTACACTATCCCAGACCTGCTGCCAAACACGCCGTACACTGTGTGGATAGTGGCCTTCTCCGCAGAGGGCGCGGGCGAGAGGAGTTCTGTCTACTATGTTCAAACTGCAGCAGAAGGTAAGACACACTTGCCGAGCAGGAGATTAAAATGCTATTTACTTTCAGGTTAGTACACATGTGTACTCTTATGATATTATTGGTCAGCATTGTTGCCTTAGTCATAACCTCCTTGGTTATGACTTTGTAGCCAACAAAGTTTGAATAGAGGTGACCTTAGACATATATATTAAATGTAACTACACCTGTAATTGTGTATATATAAATTAATGATCAGAGCATATTTCCTACTTTACTGTTGGTACATTGTATCTTTGTATAGATACATGTGTTTGGTAATGTTGAGTCAGATTTGCCCCAAAAGCACGAGTGTGTAACTGTTGGTGACTTCCATATTTTGTACTACCTAGCTGAGATTCCTGGTGCACCTGGTAATGTGCAGGTCACTCCTTTTAATGCGACTGCCATCACTGTGGAATGGGAGCCACCAACTAGAGGTGGAGACTTCCAAGGATACAGGATCTATTATCAGGTATTTTTGAAATCTTTATCATGAATTTTGCTAGAATAGTAAAATGGTAACACAATTTTGCATCCGTACTGTATTGCATGACATTGTTTTGCTTTCATAAACCTGAATGGATTGTGGACTTTGTGCTGATCAAATTCTTGAAACCCCCTACAGAAACTTTGCATTAGAATTCAATGGCCAACTTTGGGTACAATCTGTTGCTAACATTAGGATCTCTAAGCTAACAAAAGCAGTCAATTAATAATTATTGTATAAAGGTGCACAGAAGGTTTGAGGACAAGAGATCATCAGGATACAGAGATTTTGTGATTTTTGCTAGACAGGGTAAACTAGTACAGAATGAGCCCCGCCGCAACAACCACGCTTTTTAGCTACAGACTGTCACTAGTAAATCCTACAGGCTCTCTGCACCTTTGCACCATTGAAGAGTGTAATTTGAGCCTTGTGTGGCAGAAGTGGGGTCTCTCAACTAGTTGAAAACTGGACTGGCGATGACCTGCTGCATTGAGTCACCCATACACATCTTGTATATATGTAGATATTACTAACACACTAAATTCACTTGTTTCTGGAACCCAAAGGGTCAGTTTCCTATATTCCTTAATGTCCTCATTTTTCCCTTGGTTTATTTGTACCATACATGGGCAAGTAATTTATTGGCCTCACAGGTTTTATTAGGTTTATTCACACACATTTAACCAACTCAACAAACTAATTCTAAACATTACAGTAAATAATACCATTATACAGGAACTGAACAAAATACAAAATTTCAAACCCAGCCACAGCCACAAGGTCAACAAGTATGCAGCCCTAGCGGCAGACCTTAGAAAAACAGGCATCAGTACACCCGACAACAAAAGAAGACTTAGGTTATGGAAAAATAAATTGTCATTCACTGTCACGGACATGCCAATGGAATTTTCTATCCTAATCTGTATTTATAACTGGAGACTGTCGCCTTGTTCCTTCCAGGCTCCTGAGGAATCAACTCCAGGCTTTGTGGACACGCCTAGCTCAGTCACCTCCTTCCTACTGACTGATCTGCAGCCTGACACAACCTACAATGTCTGGGTTCTAGCCTTCTCCCCTGCTGGGGTGAGCCAGAGAAGCTTGATGAGAACACTAACCACACTGCAGCTGGCTCAAGGTCAGTAACATTATAGTACAGGTATCTTTCATTGATGCTGGAATAACAAATAATACATTGTACATGCCTGTAGGCATCTCTTTTGGCATTTTACAATAAATGGTGTAGGATCTTGCTGTATTTACTTCATGATCTCACTGGGTTAGTGAAGTTAATCGAAGGCCTCAACTTCTTCTGCTCATTATGGATTTTTGCTCCTAGGAGATGTTGAGACCCAGTAATATGAAGCATCCATGTGTAGCATCATTTTTGTTGCTCTTATTTTAGTCAGAGTATATTTCAAAGTATTCATATTAGTTGTCCTTCTGTTTCAGGTCCCTCTGCCCCAGCCTTTATTCGAGCTTCTCCTTTAGACGGGACCTCTCTTGTTGTGGAGTGGGAGGCCTCTGAGAGTGACAATGTACAAGGGTACATCATCTACTATCAGGTGAGGTTTGGCATAGACCAGGAATAAGAATGGACGTGTTTGAAATAAGGTTGTCTATCATAAAGATCAGATTCCTACTGAGTTAAAGGGATTTACTGAGACAGCTTGTATGTTTGGATGACAGATGGAGACAGAGACCCGTCCATCCAGTGTGGAGGCTGACCCCACAACCCTTCAGTCCACCATCAGCGGTCTGCAGCCAGACACCACCTATAGCCTGTGGGTTGTTGCCTACTCGCCTGATGGTACAAGTCCCAACAGCCCCACTGTTACTGTACGGACACTACAGGAAGGTAGGATCTCATCAAACTAGGCTTGTATCCCAATTTATAACAGACATCATCACATGTGGCATTTGCTTTTAGACAGTGTACAATTGTCACAATCGTGGTGCCCAAGGCATGGACAAATAGACTGTATAAATCGTTCCTCCACTACATGTACATCATCCGACTGTAAAATAGTCAAATGCAGGCTTAGTGTTTTTTTTGTGTTCTATGTCCTATTTGTGTATCTGTATGTATGTAATTGCCTTTTGTTTCTTCTTGTATCCAACTTCTCAACGTAATTCAGGAGTACTTGTACTCCTGCTATGTTGATTGATTGTAATAAAATTGAATTGAAATTGAATTGAATTCAATAATGAGGACATTATTTCATTCCAGTGATTTAGGTGACAGGGCTTCATGATTCATTAGTGGTAAATTTACCACTAAGTTATGTGAAGCATAAATTATGTAAATTATTGTGTGTTTGTGCCCTGTAGCTCCAGGTTCATTAGATGTGTTTGTGCCCTGTACAAAATATAGCTCCAGGTTCATTAGATGTGCTTGTGCCCTGTACAAAAAGGTTTATTGTGTTCTTGTGCCCTGTAGCTCCAGGTTTATTGTGTTTTTGTGCCCTGTAGCTCCAGGTTTATTGTGTTCTTGTGCCCTGTAGGTTTATTGTGTTCTTGTGTCCTGTAGCTCCAGGGTTATTGTGTTCTTGTGCCCTGTAGGTTTATTGTGTTCTTGTGTCCTGTAGCTCCAGGTTTATTGTGTTCTTGTGCCCTGTAGCTCCAGGTCTACCTGGCTCACCTGAAGGGCTGCGAGTTCGTGCCGTGAACCCAACAACAGCCCTTCTGACCTGGGAGGAACCATCTAGTGGGGCAGACTTTGATGGATACAGGGTCTACTACCAGGTGGGAAAAAACTTTTTTCATTATTATCTACATGTATAGGGGTAAATATCACCATGTTGACCTCTGGAAATGTGTGTAAAATGTATTATGAAATGAACTTGAAGCCTGAAGCTCCAGAATTTTTGTCTGTTTGTATCCTGAACAGTTTGAGCATGGTCAAGTTAGGTTGGTCAGTTTTTCCATGTGACTAACTGACCATAACGGACTCACCATTATCTGTCCCTTAGGCTCACTTTAGACTATCATGCCTGCACCTACTCTGTATCTGTATGTGTATAGCCAGTATAACTGCCCTTCAGTGACACACGACTACAGGTATAGCAAGGAAGAAAGCTGGTTCATGCCCAGGAATTGCCCATCCCTATATATGATCCTTCAGTCTCCTTCTTTGTTGGGCGAATACTCGATTCTTCCATGCAGGAAAATGCAGATAGCAAACAGTAAAACATGAACTTGTGTCACAAGACGAGATATACCACTCTTCTCCCGCCATTTTGACCCACAATTTCTCATGCCACAGATGGCCCTTAACTGGTGGCAAAGGGTTTTGGAATAGTATACCATTCCCAGTACTGAAGTGGGCCTACTGCTTGACTGTTGGGGTACCCCAGATAATCTGTCCATCACCTTGACCACCCTCACAGGGAGTCAGACTGACTAAAGGCTGTGTATTTCCTCTACAGATCTTAGAAGACCCAGACTCTGTGGCTTCACTGAACGTGTCCCCCAGCTCAACCTCCTACATCCTGGAGAATCTCCAGCCAGGACAGAAATATCTGATGTGGATTGCTGCCTACTCCACACAGGGAGTCAGCCAAGCCACACAGCAAATTGACCTGAGGATGCCAGGAGGTACAAGATGAAAATATGTCAAGTTTTCTGTTTTCATTTCCTCTGGGCAGACTGGTATTTCAGCTACTTTTCTTACTATTACAGCTTCCTTGCTGTTGGAGTATTGAATTATTAATAACATGTAATTTGGAAGATTACTGCTGTAACAAACTACTGATGTGTTGTTGTAGGTACAGCTGCACTTCCTGGTACCCCGTGGAATGTCCGAGCCAGCTCGACAGAACCGACCAGTATCATTCTTCAGTGGAACTCACCCCGATCAGGGGGCGATGTGGAGCGTTACCAGATTTATTACAGGGTAGGCTACGTCTCTTTATCATTTACTGAAATAAGCTTTTAGTTGTCACAGATGGTGTGTTTGTACTTCCATAGCTAGGTAAGATATCATATGGTAGTAGATGTACATGTATGTTATGTTACATGTACAACATTAAAGGTCGCTTGGCATTATCAGTGGTTTAGAATATAACCCTGAAATGTTGTGTAGTCTGTTTAAATTATATTTTATGATGAAATTTATGCTACAATTCCACTATATTTAGTTATCCTACTACCAGTACTAGCTTAAAGTGATCAAAGAAAGAGCCTGAGTTGGTATTTTCTGGCCATACGATACCTCGTGTATGTAATCAATTACAATGTACATGTAGTTCCTTGTTGTTAGGACTGTTCAAATGTCAGTGGAATGACTGATAAGATCTGTTGGGCTTGAATAATGTCATAATACAGTTGATTTTTTATCTTTTACATAAAAATGCTATGAAATATCACGCTATCATCAATACAACTTTTAAGATGGATTTTGTAGTGACATTTGTAATCCCTGTGTACAGCCGTCGGAGGACTCCAGTGTGTACCAGGTCCCTGTTCGCGGTGACGTACTGACCAGGACCATCACAGGCCTGCAGACTGACATGGAGTACATGGTGTGGATAGAAGCTGTCAACTCAGCCGGCAGTGGACCCAGGAGTGAGGTTATCTATGTACAGACTCCTTCAGAAGGTAAGGTTGACTTCTTAGTGTGTCCCATTAACTCTATAATATCCCATGTTTCTTCACCATCATTAAAGTCATGTATGTTAGATTGTTTAGTTAATTTTTCTTGCTCAATTTCAGCCCCAGGTGAACCCCAGAACCTACAGGTTGAATCCACAGAGCTGACATCTGTAACCATCACATGGGAGGCACCAACGTCAGGGGGGGAGCTGGAGGGGTACAGGATCTATTACCAGGTCTGGACTCAACATAGAATACATACAGCAACTAATGGTCTCTAGTGCAGTAGGAACCTTCTCTTCTAGAAGGTTCAATGACTATCTATATAAGGGCAAATGAGAGCAAGATCTTTTGAAATCCTGATGTCAGGAAAAATACACAATCTTCAGTTCCGTGTTCTACTTTTTTTTGGGAATGGCTGTTTATTTAAATTGACATTAATGTTGTTACTGTACAGTGATGTTATTGAATACTATTTCAGCGTGTAGGTGATGATGGCATGAGGTCTCCAACACGTGTCATTGGTCCTGATGAATATTCCTTCACCCTGACTGGTCTGGAACAAGGCACAGACTACAGGATCTATCTCGTGCCCTTCTCTTCAGACAGAGTGGGAACAAGCAGTCCTGTCCTAACTGTACGCACACAGACAGGTAGGCTGACTACACATTTGTAACATTAATTCTAGTCTCACATATATGCTGCCTAGAAATGGCAGGCTGATTTTGGACTGTTGTTTTATCATGTCTTGCTTCATACAAATGTACATGTTGACAACAGATAGCATTTGTGTTTTCTTTGATCCTAAGTTAATTTTTGTTGTTCCTGTCCATGCATATAGCACCTGTTCCTCAGGCCCCAGGCACACCCCTGAGTGTGCGGGCTGCAGCTGTGGACTCCAGCTCTGTGCGTGTGACATGGAGACACCCTACTCGTGGGGGGACGGCAGCCGGCTACAAGGTGCACTACCAGGTGAGGTACTTACAGACATGTGGTACAGCCAGCTCCATAAATGGACATGCACTGGCATCACATTGTCTCCTGATCTCTGGAACTTTCTATACTTCTGTAGAAAGTAGCTCATCCACTAATGTACACAGTAATCAAGACAAAATTACATTACATTTGTAAAATGTAACATTTCTTCTTAGCATCTGTATCTGTATAGCCGGTACAACATGTATAACTGACTTTCGGCGTAACACACCAGCTACACTAGCTAACACACCAGCACAACTGCAAAATGATTCCTCATAAGCTACATCATAGTACATATACATGTTTATACATGTACAATATGATGTCACAATCTTTGCACTAAGCAGGTATACTGCATGCATTTCTACGTTCTGACATTGCCTATTAGTATATCACTGATAACATTCATATCTATTCTTGAGGAAGATTCAAGAAATGATTGATTTAGAATTCGAATCTAATGTTATAATCTATAAATTTATTGTTATACTAGTAGTTCGTTTGCCTCAAGCATTATTATGTGTTTTGTATTAGGGATCTATATTTATACCTAAAATCTTAATGACCTACATCACAGAAACATTCTTACAGTGCAGTGACTTGTTGTTGTAGGTGGCAGGAGAGCCTGAGGTTGTTACTGTTGAAGTGCGACCAACAGATCGTGCACTGATGTTGTCTGGACTTCGGCCGTCCACCAGCTATGACATCTGGATGACTGCTTTCTCTTCAGCTGGTAGCAGTCCTCGGACACCCTCTGTCATGGTCCGAACACTGGAGATGGGTAGGTGTTCAATAGTCCTGGCCTGAACACTTCTACAGAGGATGGTTCAAACCCTGGACATGGATAACGTTAGGTGTCCAATGGTCATGGACAGAACCAGTGTGAATATTATGTACTAATAAATGATACCAGTAAGCTGTTGAAGGAAGCAGGTTATTAAAGTTTGTAAATGTTGTCCTCTTGACAGCACCTCAAACACCAGGAAGACCAAGAAGCATCCGTGCCGAGACCCTGAATCCCACGACTATGCTGGTGCAATGGCAACAACCCATCAGAGGGGCAGAGTTAGTAGAAAGATACAGAGTGTACTATCAGGTAGGCCTTCTGATCATGTTGTGAAACAAAATGACATGTTGTATGTAAATATTCATGAAAATTATGTCCCAGTATTGCATGTATACAATACAGTGTAACATTAGTTTACCTTTACTTGTTGTATCCCCAAGACTACATTGACTTTCTTTCCTTTTATCATATGATGTATGTAGAAGTTCACAATTAACATTACATTCAATAGATTACACAAAAAAAGCTTAACTATGCATTTATAACTATTAGGACGTATCTGTTGACTTGATCAACTAAAGTGTCCAGAACACTGTTAATACAATGTAAAGCATTGATTACGAAGCACTCAAAGATGATGAGGTCCAAAAATTTCAAACCCTTCTGGCACAGTCTAATCACTTGTTTATTGTGTTTTTTATGGATGACAACTATTCTTCCAGGAGAGGGTGGAGTATTACACAAGATTTCATTACATACAGTACAGTTATTTAAAAGAGCGACATGTGTAACATCTATGTGCTTTACTTATTCATGCCTCTCATGTGCTTTAGTAGGCCTTGTTTGAACTTCTTATGTGACACTGCTTGTAACCCACTTGACAGGGACTTCAATTTTACAATAGTTCTGTATGTGAAGGCTTTTTTGATGCTTTTAATGTAAGTTTAAAGATGTTTCATATGTTGTTTTGTTATCTTGCTGAGACACTGGACACAGTTTTATGTGAAAATAAGATGTGTATGAGGTATGTAAGGATTTTGTATGTGCATGATATAGTGTGTGTGGAAGTTAATTGTGTGTTAATTGTGAAAATTCAATTCAGGTAAAATGTTGTAGAAGCAGCATGCAAAATACCTGGTTGTCCAGTTGCCCCAGGCAACCAAATTTTACTTGGGGCAACCTATTTCTGAACCTAGGTACATGTAGCCCAGTGTGCTACCTGAATTTGAAGTATGCCCCCCCCCCAATCATGCCCACTTGGCTTGCACCACTGTATCCGGCAGATGTTTTTAATTTTAGGTATTAATGGCTATTACTAGTACTAGTTAACTATCAGTTAACTAAAGGCTGTTAGAAATTTTGTCAAAGGCTTATGTATGTAACATTACTTAATTTGAGGGAAGTAGTAACTTATAGGTGGGGCAACCTAAAATTCTGATGGGCAACCTAATTTTTGCTGGCAACCTGGTTAAAAAAAAAGAATTTTGTACACTGAGAAGTATACGTGGGTTGCAGCTTTTTTGAAGATAGTACAAGTACATGTAACATTAGATGTATGGTACAATGTGAACCAAAGCTGTTACCCTGTCAAGTGTCAAATGGGAAATTTGGTGTTAGATTCTGCATATAGACAGCAGTGACTGTCCTAGACTAGTGATTGAACCTCCCATTCAAAATGTTCATCTGCATCTCTTTCCATACAGGCTGTACGAGCTCCTACACCATCATTCCGTGTGGCACAAGCTGATGAGACATCTCTAATCATCCCGGGCATGGCAAGTAGCACCACCTACAATATCTGGGTAGTGGCTGTCTCAGCAGCAGGGGCTGGCCAACCAAGTCCCAGTATTTCATTGGCAACCCCAGACACGGGTAAGGCAATTTTACCGCTACTTTCCAATGCCTGACTGCTCTTCTGTGCTATGATTATTTGATTTGATTAAGTTGGAAATACTCCAAAGATTTACACCCCATTACGTCTTGGTCTTGTCATGGTCTTTTGGTTTTATGTAAGTTTTCATAGAAGATGTCTTTTACAGTGTTCTGGTTTGTCATGGTTGGTGCATAGGCACTTATGAGGGTCACAGACCATAGATAACATTACACGTAAAAAAAGGAAATTTGATTCAAATGATTTAAAGTTTTTCTAACAACAAGAAAAAACTTGAGGAAATTGCCATCTACATTGTAGATCTAATTCAGCTGTGTGATTGCATTGAACATTATTGCATCAACCTTATTGCATATTCCTATGACATGAAGATAGGACACTGTACCAGTATGAACTTTTAACCTTCAGTCCTAACTAAAAGATCTTGATTGGTACTTACAGTGAGTTGTTTAGTTATAAACTGGTATGTGTCCTTCTCAGTGCCTGACATCCCAGGCAGTCCTGAGGACATCCAAGTCAGTTTGGAAGATGACTCGTCCATCAGAGTGGAATGGCAGCCACCTACATCAGGTGCTGAGGTGCTAGGGTACCGCATCAACTATCAGGTATGTACAATAAACATGGATGTTATCCAATACATCTCCAATCATTGGCTGAGATACTAGTATTTGTAGTGAGGAGATATTTACCTTATTGCCAATATTAATAGTGTATACTTTATATCTGCATACCAGTTGGTTATTAGGATCATTACTTAACCAAAGCTGTTTTGTAGCCATTGTTGGAAGATGGTTACACCTGCTTAAAAAACAGGTAGGTGGAGAAGGCCATTAAAGTTACTTGTAACTTGATTGGGAAACACATGGCACAGGCACAGAGCACACCACCGCTTTCACTGGTGAGGGGGTCACTGGGTCATGTGACATACGGGGTCAAACATTGATTAATGTATATGTATTTCAAGTGTTCTCTCACTTCTTGAAATGAATTCTCTTTACTCAGTCCTTTTGTACCAATTGTTTTTTCCTTTTCCTTTGTTTAAAAAGGAAGCAGGAAATGAAGAGGCTACCACTGTAGAGGTGAGGGCCAATGTGTACTCCCAGGTCATCCACAACCTGAAGCCTGACACGGAGTATTACATCTGGGTGGTCGGCTTCTCTGCTGCTGGGGACGGACGGCGAAGTCAGATCCTGTCTGTCACCATGGAGTCAGAAGGTACACAGTACTTAACCCTATGCCTGCTTCAATCTATACAAACTTGATGTTTGTAGCAAGGACATGGTTAAAACTGGTCAGGATCAGGGAATGTTGGCAAGGTTCAGGATCAGGGAATGTTGGCAAGGTAGTGGTGTGGTTAGTGTTGTGGAATCAGAAGGGTCAGGGTTAAAATCCCTAGCAGACCACAATGTTTGGAAAGACGCTTTATCGTTACACGTACATGTAGGGAAAAAGACTGAATTCCCATGTTTGAGGAGAGTCACACCTCAAGCAAGAAACCACCACACTAATAGTTTGCGTGAGTGGATGGAACCTTCCAATCTGGTCTTACGCATCTTGTACTTAGTTACTATACAAAACCAGTGTTTAATACACTATGTTGTGTGTGGTGTACAGGTTCCACCCAGCTGGGACCCCCTGCAGACCTGCAGGTGTCTCTGCTGGATGATGAGTCCGTGCTGCTGCAGTGGAGCACACCTGAGGGAGCAGAGGGCATCCTGGGATACAGGCTGTATTACCAGGTAGGAACAGTCTACTGTAGCACATCAGCTGGTCATGCTGTGGAAGGAGGGTGCTTCAGTTTGTTTTCCTCTACCTGGCATGTACATTTTGTAGTTTCCAATAGCATACACACCCAAATTTCATGAACATAAACCAAGGCAGCTGAAGTGTTAAATGGAAAAATCTCATTAATGTGTGCACCCCCTGTGCAGCATTTGGCGGATAGCAAGGAAGTAGACAAGTTAAGATAGAACTTTAATAGGGACATAATGATATCCTTTTGATGATACTTGCTTAAATGTGCACAAGTATTCAGTCATCAGTAAGTATATTTATGTGACCTGGAAGTTCTGGATGTCAACACTGCTGATCATGAAGACATGGAAGTTGTGGTGGCAATGAAGTATGAAGTTGCCTGAAGAAAAACTAATCAGAGTTGCATAACACTGACACGACCTGTTCAGCCTACATGCCAAGTATGAGGTTGAGTGCATGAGAATGTACATGTAGCATGGCTATGAATGACATGGGGAAATTAACAACAATAACAGCAAGAAATAACTGTGACTCCAACAGAACTTATACACATAACAGATATTCATAAATTGTAGTTGCTATCAAATTACTAATCATTGCTGGAGGAATGTCTGGCATACATACAGTACCAGTGATAACTGGAATGTGTAGGCCCAGGTGTGAGCAGTTACATGTGGACATGTCAACTGTCAGCTGATCAGCATGGCCTGCATTCCCCAGCTTACTGCCACAGGGTATATTTTGAAACAACATATATTATGCTATTTTCATATTCATCATAAATGAAAATATGTATTAATCTGTACTTGTAGTAGGCTCCCATGCTGGTGTGCAGTCCACTTCCACTTTTTGAGGGTGGGGGAATGAATAAAAGAAATACACATGTAGGCTATACAGTAATACCAACATTTACCCTGTTAACATGTAGCTGTTCATGTCCCTTGTGTAGCCTGTAGGATCTACGGATGTCTCTAGCCTGGAGGTTGGTCCTGATGTTGGCTCCCACCCGATCCGTGGGCTGGAGCCTGGAGTAGACTATGTGGTGTGGATTGTAGCCTTCACACAGGAGGGAGAAGGACTGCGCAGCGCAAAAATGAATGTACGGATCGACAGACAAGGTGTGTGTTCTTTTCTTCCAACAGTGTTGTCTAGGTCATCATAACAAACATTTTGGACTACACATGTACAGCTACACAGTGACTTTTGTTGAAACATTGCCGTAGTTCTGGGTACTAAGTCTGAATTCTTCTAGAGATACATGTACATGTATTTGTGTTTATTAATCCAATGTCTGGGTTTGTTTGTTTGTAGACAGCATAACTTAAGAAGTTGCAAAAGGACCTTAGATATGATATTTGGTATGTAGGTGGGTGTCAAATATGATATTTAGTATGTAGGTGGGTGTGAAATATAACATTTGGTATATAGGTGGGTGTCAAAGGGTAAGTTTGATTGTGAAGCAGAATGTTTTTATATCTTGTGTTCTGGACAAATGGCCAGGATCAGGATCTTTTAAGGCCATCTGCATCTTGGCCCCATGAAGCAGAGGGCCTCTTGGCATCCTTTTTTGAACTGCACGGGCCATTTTTTTGTTGAATTTGTAAGAGGATAACTTGAGAAGGGTTGATGGATATGAGAAAGGTTAGCATGTGTGTGGCTATAAACAAATAAACAAATACTCGTATGTAGCTTAAATAATTTTTTTGACATATTAAAATGCTTATTATTCAAATTAGAATCTACTTTACATAATCAAGGAAGAGGTTTTTAAGATTTGATGACAAAATACCAGAGTACCATAGTTATGGTGGGAATTTCATTTGTAGTTAGGTAAATGTGAATATCACTCGACATCATGTATTAAAGTCAGGGTCTCATTTGGATAATTGATGGCAATAGCCTTCCTTGTTAAGACAGGGCTTTCATTTTTTTTCATGACAACATGTGTTGTTTGGGTCATCATATAATTTATGCAAATGAGGACCTTAATAATAAATGAGAGACAATTGTATCAAGTTGTAAAAGTTAGCATCATTTGGCAAAGGTATGAGATTGTGGATGGTAGTTCTGAATGCTGAGATGTTAAATGTTGACATCCCTTCCTCCCTGTAGTAATTGGAGGCTCCACATACCCAGGAGAAGAGGATAGGATCAACATCATCCCAGGTGTGGTTGTTCCTGACCCCAGCTCTGGTTCTGGACCAGACCAGGAGGACCGGTATGCCCTGTTAGGTCTGCCCGGTGCACCTGAGAATGTGCAGGTGGCCCGTGTGGATGCCACCACCATGCGGGTGCAGTGGATGCCTCCCACCTCAGGAGGGCAAGTGGCTGGCTACAGGATATATTACCAGGTAGATCTACTGTGTTCTGCTATTGATAAAATGTTACCAGTGAAGCCCTGGTGATGGCAATTAGCGATCCATGCTGCACGTCCTTTACATGTAGTTCATGTGGTGTGTCCTGAGGTGTTTCAGCACCCCTGCTGGCCTCTTATTCTCCTTGTTACATGTAGGACAGGCTTCTTCTCTCTGGCAGCCATCACAACACCACAGAGACAGGACTGAAGTCTGATATACATGTAGACGTGTATATACCTTTGCAAGTGATGCATAGAATTGTTATTCTATGCATCTGATTCACTTGTGCAGGATACTGGATCTGACATGTTGAGATTGTCAGCCTTCAAAGGCTGTATATGGTTGCACTGCTCTCCTGTTACAAGTGTGTTCTGATGACTACCGTTTCCAACAATATTGGCAATATATGAAGCCATCAGCATACAGTCCAAATTTGTGAACCAATCACCTCATCAGTAAAGATAATGATGGTTGTATACCTTGTTATGGGGGTAAAAAAAACTTGAAACATGCTCAAAATCCTATAATAGAGCTTTTTAGCTCCATTTTCCATCACACTATGTTCAGTAATGGCTGGTTTTACCTGTAATTTAATAGTAACCCAGTGCTCTGTCTAGTATGATGACATATATATTGTACATGTAACAGTTATATGACATACATTACTATGTGACCATTGCTTCTCAGACATACAAAGCGTTGTGTTAACGCTCAACGCTGAGGAGAAAAATGCTATTGTAGGTGTGCAGTAGGATGAATGTGACTTTTAATTGAAGATTTTCCTCATGTTAGTATTACATGGTGTGTGGCCTCAGGCACTACGTATAATACATGCTTGTGATAAATGTGGCGACATCATAATCAGAGTGCTTCAAAATGTAGTGAAAACAAGTGTTGGTAAGTTAGTGAAAACAAGGACATTAACAATATATGAATTTCTTGTTTGAAACATTTCCATTTTCAAGATTGTGTTGATGAATACTGTTGAAGTAATGAAGCCCATTAGTGCTAGTGGCTTGTCTGGGCGCGAGGCATGCTCACTTTAAACTATCTTTCTGTTTAGGGTCCAGATGATGATGAGAGCCGATCCTTCGACACCCCTCCTTCTGCGCGCACACAAACCATCACAGGCCTGGCATCAGGCGTGGACTACAACATCTGGGTCCTGGCCTTCTCACCAGCCGGTGTGGGGCCACAGAGCAACTCTCTCACCATCAGGACTTACCCACAAGGTCAGTACACATCCAGCCATGCAACCAGCCTCACCAACAAAGTTACTGTTTTGCGGTCCGTGTGTCTGTCTGTTTGTTTGTTTGTTTATGAACAGCATAACTCCAGAAGTCGGTGATAGATCTCAATGATTCATGTACATGTACAATGTATAACAAAAACTGGAAATGAGTAGATTTTTGCATCCCTGGTGGCTTTCCACAGTACTGCAGTGGAACTTCCAGACATCATTGTACATTGTACAACTGTTATTGTGTGGAATATGATCAACTGATATGATTTATGCACATGAGGACCTATTTGCATAATCAAGGAGAAACTTTCATAATTTGTCAGTTCCTCTATGCTTGCCTGGACCATAGTAACATACATTGCTATCTACATGTGTAGCTTACTCAGACATGTTTGCTGCCTGTGTAGGCCCAGTGCCCCGAGCCCCTGCTGATGTACAGATGGCTGTGGTGAACCCCTCCACAGTCAGGCTGAACTGGGAGCCTCCAACAGCACTGTCAGGACCAATCCTGGGCTATCGTATCTTCTACAACCCCATCCTGACTAACATGTTGAACGTGCGGGAGGTGGGTCCCACTGTGACACAGTACGACCTGATGGATCTGGACCCATACCTGGGGTACAACATCTGGGTCCTGGCCTTCACAGAGGCACGGGAGGGGCAGCGCAGCCTGTCAATCATGCTGCCACCACGGGCACAGAGGGGATCGTCAGGTGAGGAGCAGAACAAGTATTAGCATCATGTACAACACATTGTACCCTTCTCTTACTTGTCTAGCCTCTTGTGACATCTACCTGTACTAACAAGTGTGTACTAAAAGAGTGTTTTCTGTCATGCTGTTCCAGTTGGAGGGTCTGCCTCGCCACGTGAGGTCACCTTCACAGCCTTGACCCCCAACAGCATCAAGATCCAATGGGAAAAGCCAACAGATTCTGTAGATGTCATTGATGGCTACGGTATCCTGTACCGTAGTGCTGGGGAAGACCAGACCCAGACTATAGAGGCAAGTACTGTACGGACATCTTTCACCCAAACCGCCTATTTGTGTTCCACAGTCTAACACTGTTGTTTCTGAAAATCTCTACTGCTCATGCATTCAATTTATTAAGATGCCTTATAAGTTATAATTGCAAGAATGAATGAAGACCTTTATTGTCTACAAGACAAAAATTATATATATAATATATATAATTACAAGAATGGATCTACACATGTATGCATTAAGACGTTGCATTAAGATTTTACAAATTATGTACATGTATTTTAGACTGTATTCCAACTTGTAACTTATTGAAAGATTTTTGGTCACATCTTACTGTAATCTTGTCTTCCAAATACACTCCAGTACTCCAACATGATCAACTAATTCTGACTGTTGCAGGTTGGTGTAGATGAGTCGGAGTACACTCTGACAGGTCTGGAACCAAACACTGAATACATCCTGCAGCTTCTGGCCTTCACAGCATCAGGACAGGAGTACAGGAGTCCTCAGATCACCGTGCGTACATCAGTGAGAAGCCAGCCAGACTTAGGCAGAGTGGGCTCCACTGCACACATGTCTGTTGTTCCGTCTGGCGGCAGTACGGGCAGGGTCATTGTGCGAGGTGGGGGGGACTCTGGACCAAGGCTGCCTTCAGGACAGTCGTTTGTGATCAGGACCGATGCCAATGGACAGCGATCTTTTCTCCTGCCTAACGGAGAGAGCATCTCAGGACAAGGTGTGCAGATCTCACCTGATGGACAAGGTGTGGTCATCAGGACAGATGGCAGCTCCAGTTCCAATGGGCAGGTCTTTGTAGTTCCAGCTAATGGAGGGTCTACTACTGGTCAAGAAGGCCAGACGTTTGTTGTCCAGCCCAATCAGAGAGGTGTCATCACCAGCAGTGGCGGGTCCAGCTCTAGTGGAGGGCAGGCGTTTCTAGTACCAGTAGGGGGGTCTTCAGGTGGCACCCAGGATGGACAGACTGTGGTGCATCGTTTCCACGGCAGGCCTGATGATGCCCTGCAATCTGGTCAGTTCTATAGTAGTCTCTGTCATACAGCTGATCCTATACACAGACATCATAACAAATCAAACTCTTAGCATGAAAGTTCAGTATGTTGGTACAATACATTACCGTCATTATGGCCACCCCTAAGATGTTCCAACACTAAGTAAATTGGACTTACCCATATTTTTGGCTAACTCTATCAGCCTTGTTACCAATTTACTTAGTGATGAAACATAAAACTAAAAGTTTTAACTTTTTCATCATAAATCAAACTCTTGAAGAAATAAGACTGTCATCTGAATTTTGTGTTACTGTTCGGATGGAAATTTGTTGCCTCATGTATAATCCTACAAAATCAGATTTTATTATCTTAAAAGCCCAAATTGTAAAACCTAAGAAAAAATTCATGTTGATTCATTTCATATAAAATATTGAGATGCATAATCAATGGAGGGGTCTCCATAAATTGAATAGTTTATTCAATGAGAAGGATTTGGAGTTTGAAGGCTCTAAGATTGAAGTTATTGCTGTTGGTGACTCTACTGTATGTACATCATATAGTCAATCTTTATTTGCATATAACCTTAATGGCTAACCCTGTAGACATTGTTTTACTAATTTTCTGTAGTTCACCATTAACTAAATTTCCTCTCTTCCCGGTCTCTGTCTGACCCGTGACCCACTAACACGTCCTCTTGTCTTGTGCTGGGACACAGCACTGAATTTTATCTTTCAATCCCAGGCCAGACGACGCCTGCGCCTGAGGAGGGCCACAACAAGGATTGCTACCATGACAACGGAGAGGACTACCGAGGGCAGGCCAGCACCACTGAGAAGGGCTCCCAGTGTGTGAAGTGGAGTGCCTCTGACTTTTTCCAGTATAGTTCATATGAGTACACACAGGGGGAGTTTGGTATAGGTGACCATAACTATTGTAGGAACCCAGATGGAGATGCTAAGCCATGGTGTTATGCAGATGCAGAGGGAACATACGAGTACTGTGCCATACAACAGTGTAGAAATGGTGACTAAGCGTGCAGGAGCTTAACCAGTAGTGCAGTGCTATATATTACAACCCTTTCAACCCATCCCTTAAAATTTTAACAACCAAAAGTAAAGAAGACAGAAGTCAGAGCAGAACTTGCTAGAATCATTAGAATACATGTCATTGATATATACGAAAAAGGTCCTTTTTCAAGTTACAACTTCAAAATGAGAGATTCCTGAAAAGCCAGCATGTAGAAAAAGACTAAATGGTGTTGTGGTAGTTAACCACCATTTATTGTCTGATGTCATTTTCAACCCCAGACCATAATTTGGGTCAGCTTTCCTATCATGCTGTCGAGCTTGACGATAAATGTTGAGTATGTTTGACAATCCAACAGAATGCAGCATCTATAGCTACAGCAAAAACAAAAAGGTGTTTTCTTTTTGCTTAGATATGCTTATTTAGTAATAATAATAGGTTTATTGCAAGTTCATGCCCTAAGGCTATTTGCAGGTAACAAAGATAAGACATTGGAACAATGAAAGAACGTACATAAGAATCGTAAAATCTACATTGTAGTTATGATGATCCATAGGTCAGTTGATTCTTTGTTTCAAGTAATGATTTAAAAATGGTGCCACATTTAATTTGAGAGACCTAAATTTTAACATTGGACTTTAAAATGCTTGTAGAATGGACTATTATCATTGTAAGGAAACCAAACAGTTGGGCAGGTATTTGGCATGCTATGAGTTGGTTGTTAATAGATTGCAGTGCAGAAAGATTGTACATGTCTGTTTTGTTTTAAGCTGTCTGCAGTTTTGACTTTGTGAAAACATTTTTGTTATTTTTTTACTTTGAAAATCTAAAAGGCAGGACTTATTTTAAGATTTATATGATTTGTTGATGATTTAAAACAAAGATTCTACAAGATCTTATCCTTCTTTTGTAAAAGAATATATTTTAGTATTGGCACCTGAAAAACTTTCGGTCAGTATCATCAACATATATGTTTGTAAATAGGGTATTAAAGTTACTTTTACTGAGCAGCTTTTAAAGGACTTTAAAGTTTTACCAAAAATCAGAACTGCCCTCATTAAAACTTAAAGAAAGTGGACACATTCTTGGTGTCAGGCAGAGAGTAGAAGTACAAAGAGTATGACATTGTATAATTCAGACTACTTCTGTTGCTACAAGGCAATTAGAGATAAGTAACATTCTGCACTGTTCTTCAATCACATAGTCAATGGTTTTATGACACAAAAAGGATTTTAATGGAAGGATAATAAAGTGTGCCTTATCACAAAAAAC